AGAAAGAAAGGAAGGAAGAAAGAGAGAGAGAGAATGAGAGAGAGAGAGAAAGAAAAGAATGAAAAAAGAAGACCAAGGAGATAGGAAAAGAGCAAGCAATTGTGGTGTCAGTCAGAAGGGTTGCCTCGTACTAGGTGGTTAAGTAAGATCATGATAGGAAAGGATCCTCCGGATTTGACAACGTGGAGACCATCAGTAACATCAGTAAGCGTCTGTCACTTTATTAACGATCCCAAGCCTATCTTCCTCTGTAAAATGTTCTAATAATTTACCTACTTTCCAGAGTTTTTATGTTTAAAGCACTTATGCACACTTTGTACAAGACCTGGTTAAATGTGAGTTGTGAATTTAGCTGAGAACAAATGCTTGCATTGCTATAAAACAGGTTTGATAATACCCTCCTCATACACTTGCTAAAAGGAATACGTGAAGTAACGTTACATTTTAGAAAAGTAGATTTAAAAAATAGGTATAGGAAGTAGGTCTTCCCTATACCTCCATCTGAACCGATGACAGCTGGTCTATCTGAGAATGAGAGGAGCAAACCATGTCCTCAAGGAAGCGGAATACTCAGTGGTAGGATTAGGCCCCGCCACCCAGTTATTTAATTAAGAATCCTTTAGAGAGGTAGTTTGGGTATCGGTAAAAACAGAGAAATCTGTGTGGCAGAAAACACGACGATAAATTAAAGCACCAACATCTATTTCATTTTCTATTCAAAACATAATCTAGCATTGGCTCACTGTAATTGTATGGCTGGTAGAGATACTTCAAAGATGTGCTGCAATCCAGCAAAAGCCTCCACAGGGCCAAACAAAGGCAGTGGCCCAGGATTAGGGGAGTTGATACTAGTAAAAATAGAGTCACACTGCTCCCTACAGTTTTCAAGCCTGAAGGCCAAGACAAAGCCAAGGAAGCTGATACCTTTCTCAAGGCCTTTCTAGTGTTCATATTCTACTACCCAGAAATCTAGTCCTATGAAGAGACGTTATCAGTCATTGCCAGGGCTAGCACAGCACTGGGACAATGGGAATATGCGGGAGATAGTTCCTCTATTTCCTTTCAACTGAAGATGGACCAGGCTAGGCCCAGTGGCTTATGCCTGTAATCACAGCTCTTTGGGAGGCAGAGATAGGAGGATTGCTTGAGGCCAGGAGTTCAAAACCAGCCTGGGCAACATAGTATGACCCCCATCTCTACATAAAATTTAAAACAAAAAACAATCAGCCAGGTGTGGTGGCATGTGTCTTTAGTCCAAACTACTCAGGAGGCTCAGGATTGCTTGAGTCCAGGAATTCAAGGCTGCAGTGAGCTATGATTATACCACTGTATCCAGCCTAGGTGACAGAGCAAGACCCTGTTTCCAAAAAAAACAAAAACAAAAAAGATGGACTCATTGGCCAGGTTCTCAGATAAACCTGGTGGTGGAAAGTAATCTTTGGCAACCAACAAACTGAAAAAATATTCCTTGTTTTTAATCTATTTAATAAGGAAAATTGAGAGATGTTCTAGCACAGCTGTGAAGTACTGCAAGGGCACTGTGTTTCCTGGTCTGTTCTGATGGAACTCTCATTCCTAGACAGCCTGGCATCAGGCACAGCTGAGAGGGAAACCCTGTCAACAGAGGACAGAGAACAAGTCCTTGTTCTTTTTCTTCTCTCGCTCTCTTTTTTTGATACAGAGTCTCACTCTGTCACTAGGCTGCACTGCAGTGGTGCAATCTTGGCTCACTGCAACCTCTGCCTCCCGGGTTCAAGTGATTCTCTTGCCTTAGCCTCCAAGTAGCTGGGACTACAGGTGCATGCCACCATGCCCAGCCAATTTTTCTATTTTTAGTAGAGAAGAGGTCTTACCATGTTGGCCAGATGGTCTCAACCTCTTGACCTCATGATCTGCCACCTTGGCCTCCCAGTCTCTATTCTTATGAAGGGCAGGTGGTCAGGTGGTTATGCTATCAGAAGAAATCGCATTGCCTGCTTGCTGAGCTGGTGGGTTTGCATGCACTGGGATTAGGAGGCTGTGATCAGAGAAACAGATGAGAATCTTTTCAAAAACAGACAACATTAAAATCCAGGAGGTCTGCTTACTTTTCAAGTCAAAGTTTAGTAATAAGAGAAAAACGTTTAACCTGCTATCAGAAAATAAGAAATCAGAATCAAGTCATATGGGATGGGAGAAGCTTGAAAGCTATTAAAACTAAACTCGGGAAGCAGATAACCAGCTAGGAAAGAGGTACCCTTAAATGTCTGGCTGTATCTGAGAGTGTATCTCCCTTCATCAGAGCCAGAGTGCAAGCTAAACAAAATTCCTTCATAAATCAGCACACATCAGCTTCTAAAATCAGCAATATGTCTTCAAACATCTTGAACTGACATTAAGAAATGCTGCACCATTGAGAAAATGGTTTCCAGTTGTTTGAACTTAAAGAAGGATTAACTTGTTGAAACACATCTTTGATCATTGATAAGCTACTGAATTCCAAAAGAAGTAACCAATAATGAATGGTAAACCAATTAACTAGAAATTATATTTCAATTCTTTTGTTCTGGCAAACTTGATGATTGGTTGATATTTTTCAATATTTAGGAACAAGGAACACATATAAATTTTACATTTATGTCATTAGCATTTTGATCAACAATTCATTTTTCCATTTTATGTGTGAGGCGAAATGTTCTGATGATCTGTTAAATTTCATTTGTTTGGAATTGGCCTGAAAAGTGCTAAATACTGCTTATTAGAGAAAATCTTGAATGAATTGGAACCACTTTGTTAGGAAAAAAATAAATCTGAGCCTACTTTATGTTTGAAGTAAACTGAACTATTACATGATTGCTTGGCTTCCTTAACAGTTGGTCTTGAATTGACAAATGTTCTGATTTCCACACAATGTGAAAATTTCTTATTAATATAACCAAAAGGGGAAAACCCCTAAAATCTATTACAAAATGCTTTAAGAGATTGTATTTAGTCATGATATTTATTAACACAGTTCATAGTAAAGATGAAATTTGGCAATAATCTGGTTAGTTTGATTTATGTGAGTAGTCAGATTATCTGGTTGTCAAATACATTATAAAACTCATATTTCACTTTCTGTTTTATAGACATGATTCTAATGATCTGTATGTTTTATATTCATGTCACATTTGTACCTGAAATCTTTAATGAATTCATGTTTTTCCATTATAACTTGGAGTAATCATTGCCCAGCTATAAGGAACAGTATGAAATGAAGTGTGTTATGCATCATTAAATGTTAATGTTAAAATAGGGCATCACCTACTTAGTTAATTTCAACCAGGTAAAGCTGTACACAAAAGCATTTCTCTCTGTTGCTCAACAGTTCAGCCATTTCTCTGTACATCCTTCCTCAAGTTCTCCTCTCCCGTTCATATTAATTACTCAAGGTCCTGAAACTTTCTTTTTCTTCCAGGAACATTTGCTCTGATACTCATTCAAAGGTATAAATAATTGGTAACAGCTTAGAATGTGAGTTTTCTCAGTGGCATTTGGATTTTACTGAGGTTCAAACTTTAAACTACAAAAATGTTGAGTGTGTCAGTAAATGGGTGATGGAAATATTTGGGGAGGATGCACTCTTTGCAGTTACCCTTGAACTTGTATCAAGTACTCCCTTGCCTACTCTGTCTGCTAGGAAGACAGACAAGAATTCTGTACCTTCCTCTTCCAACCCTTAAAACTCTCCTTTGTTTTATATAACCAGAAAATGTTTCTTTTAAGTATCTATATATTCATTTCTATTTTTCCTTTTTTACTGTAAGGAATGGCATGGTAAAAGCTTCAATAAAGCTATAGTATTTTATGTTCAATATTCTAAATTAAGAATTAAAATTCTATATCTAGATGTCATCCAAAATGATTAATTTTGTTTCACATTGTTCATAAGAATAATGCTTTACTTTTGGTGTTGCTTTTTCCCACCAAGTTGCTTAGTTAAAAAAAAATCATGAGCAATTGCTAGTTTCTATTATGTAAGTAGATAAAACATAATTAGAAAAACTGGATAGTTCCACTTTAGGTTGTTCTCAGTGCAATGTCCAGTATGCAAATGCTTTATTCATTTGTTAATTTTAGAGGACAGTATTTCAGTGCAATAATTGAAAACAGCTCATAGCCTGTTCTGTGAAGAAACAAAACATTGCTTGTGTTGGTGTCAAGTAAGTTAATTATGCTTTATCATCTTCAAATGGAGCATATAAATGATTTATGAAATTCCGTTACCATTGTGTTTAGAACACTGTTAGTAACCAAGAATTCCGATAGTTTCTTCTTATTCCTCATGTACGAAATCATCTGGGTATTCCACATGTTTAAAAACAATTCAGTTTGAAACACTTGTACTATCATAAATTGAATCATTAAAAGCTATATAAAAAGCATGGAAACTACTGTAAAAGATTACTGACTTCTTAAAAAATACTGCATTTATCGTAGCAATACTTTCTTATTCAGCTATATGACTATGTAATTTTTCTGTAGTACTTTGTAGAATTTTCATTAATACCTTTTAAGATCAATGGCTTATATACATATTTTTTGTGACATAAAAACTATAACATTTTGGCTGATCAATGTTCTTTTGCTTGTTTATTTTTAGGTTTTTACAATTACCTAAGGAATTGCCTGAGGAGTATTGCCAGTAATTTAGCTGAAAACAAAAATGTTTTCAAACAAGGATGTAGATTAAAAAGCTTTAAGATGATCTCAGTACCATTGCACTCCGTCACCTCTACAGCCACCACCAGCACCGCCACACCTACCCTCAGAACGTTTGGTACCATATACAACTCTTTTAAAGCAAGAGAAAATATCACAAATTTAAAAAGAGAATGCTATTCCTACATTTCCAGGTAACCTAAAGAGTTGTGTAACCCTTGAACTTCTCATATGTATTAATACTGATTTTCAACACACTGATTGCTCATGTGGCCATGGACCTCTATGAATTTTATGTATTTGATAAATGAATGCAAGTGTTCATCTTAATTTTAGATTTAAATTTATTATCTTTGAACTATATCAATTTCTCATATAACAATTCAGAAACAGCATAAACAAAAAGGGAAATGAAAATATTTCATTTCATTAAGTGTTGGATAATGTTTGGTATCAAGCAGACATAATCAGAAGAGTAATAGAGCAATGGGTTAGGAAGGATTAGAAGAGTATTTAATAAAGCAATGGCTTAGAGAACACAAATAGTATTACTTTTTAATAATTAGGTACAAAAATAAGGTCTTAATAAATTAGAAATTTATGGTTTCCATTGAATGTTCTTAAAATGCCAATAGAATTACAGGAAAATGATTTTCTTTGCTGATCCCTATCATAGTATGATACATGCCTTATTTTAGATATTTACATTTTGATTCTATTAGCATGAAATACCTGAATATATTCCATATGCTGACATACAGCAAAATCTGGAATTTAAGAAAATGTACTTCAAAAATGTAAAAATTGCAGATAATTGAAATTTGAGGTATTTATAATATACATAAAGACCATTTAAAATATACCAACAGGTAATATTAAAATAAGTATATACTTCTGTAAAGATCGTGTGTGTTATGTATTGACTATCAAATACTGGATATTTGCAAATTGGCTTTTTGCTATTCTTAAGGATTATCTTGCCAAAAACTTGCTGTGAAGGTCATTGATATCACCTTTCTAAATGGATCTGGAATAAAACATAAGAGCTCCATTTAACATTCTGCTTCTTAATTCCAAGACTCTGATTATATGCCTTTTAAAATTATAAATCTATCAAATATTTCTTTTTGAATTGTATATCACCTAGCCATATTTAACACGTGAAATGCTAGAAGTGGCACACATTAATCTTTGCTCTGTGTTGAAAGTTGATCAGTACATGGCTTCATGAAAAGAAACATGTTTTTCCTAGGGTTTAATAAATGTTTTACAATGATATATTTTTTAAGTAGGCCTTAATACCTAATTACTTGTGTTCAATGGCTAGGTTTGAGTGGATAAGAACACCTACCAAAGTACAACTCCCAACTTTTATTTCAAAAGGAAGCAATTCTTGAGAGATGAGAAAATAACTTACTTCAAGCTTTATTCATTTTTGTATTTGGCTGCCATAAAATATCATTTTCTAAATAGCTTTAGGGTTTTTTTTTAAGTCAGATCCTGATTAAATTAAAAGAAACCTAGTAAGTGAATTGTAACCTTTCCCATAAAAGAGGAAAGCACAAAAGGCTATGGAGTATATCCAAGAAAGATAACATAAACATGAGACTTATAATGCACAATTTAAAATTTCATATATTGTCAAATGATCAATGTCTGTTCCAGGCTATGAATACTTTTAACTTCAAAAATCTTTTATAGCCTTAAAAAAGAACTCTCTCAGAAACAGAAGCTGGAATGTTATTTGTGAACTAGGCCTTGCACCTTGTCAATAATTTTAGTTCTTAAATTTCTGGAATATTCTAGAGCCATTAAACAGCTATTTCATTTTGAAATTTTGATTTTAACATTTCACAAACAACACAGGGAAAGGATCATCTTCACTGAAAGTGTCAAGACTAACGTTTGAGCTTAGTAATTAAACTTTCTCTTAGGCGAAACAATTTAACCCCCAAGTAATATGAGATCTGCATTTAAAGGCAACTTTTTAAAAAGAAGAAAGAAAGAAATCTGCTTTTTGCCGTCTAGGAAAGATACATTTTTCCTTGTGGAAATCTGCAGTCTGAAAAGAGATATAAAAAGCGTGAACTGTTGAAAATGACTTAAATGTTCTTTGAAAATTTAAAGGCCAGCTCATCTTGCGGTGGCGATAGAATAGCCAGCCGGCTTACAACACGCAAAGCCCAGCCGCGGGTGGGCAGGCGCCGTCGGTGGCTCGCGGAGTGGATGGACTCCAGGGCGCGGCCGCTGCGCTGGGGGAGCTCCCAGGGAGCCAAGTTCGGGTAGCGCTTCTGATGGATTCCCGGGTCTGGGAGGATTCGAGTATCCCGGGGCCCGGTGATACGCACAAAGCTGAAGTTGTCCAGGGAGGGAGGACCTGGTGAACCCGTAGAACACAAGCGGGAAGGCCTTTCCTTCTAGGAGCGAAACCAACAACGCACCCGGGACGCCCGGGGACCCTGTGTGGCTCGGTTCCCTTCCCTGTGATCCTGAGTCTACCCTGACAACGTTCCCCTCCAACGGACCGAAGAAACCGTCGCTTCCAGCCTCCAGCCACCGTCACCTCTACGGGGTGGAGAGCGGGAGACTAGGACAGAGAAGGAGCCGGCGGATCTGGCTAGCCGCGCTGCGCGAAACCCGACGGCGCGGGGCCTCCGGGCCTGGGGCCTCCATGGCCGCGGCCTCCGGATTTCCCGGGCCGGCTGCTCCTACGCTGCGAGGCTGAAGGCACCAGGGACCCAGGGGCTTCTCTGGGACTAGCGAGGACCTAATCTTGACCGAAGAACGATGTCAAGTGCGAATGAAGAATAACTGCGGTGAGCGCGAAGAAAACGGTACTGGGGCGCGCTTGCGCCTATACCCAAGGACTGAGGTGGGATTCGACAGCCACCAGTGGTGGGGACCCGGGGCGAGAAGCCCCGACTTTCTGAGTCGTGAGCCGCTTCCAATCGCCCCAGGACGTAACCCTGAGGAGCTTTCAGACACCGGCCGCGCCTGAAGTCCCTGGGAACCGCGAAGACCCGGGTCCCGGCCGCTTCCCGAACTGGCGCCCGGAGGCCGGCGGACCCGCCGGGGGCTCCCGGCCGAGCCTCGACCTCGGACGTTTATCCAGGAGCCGCGAGAAGCCTGGCAGTCTGGGCCAGGCACCGCGGTGGGCATCGATCGCGGGCTCCCTGCGAGTGGCCCCGCGCAGGTGGAGGTGGCCCGGTCACCTCCAGGAGCGTCCCCAAGCCCCGGTGCCCCCAGCATGCGCCCTCTCCTCCTCCCCAAAGGTTCAGTTCGTCTTTTTCGATTCTGGGTTACGCATCCCCTTGGGACGCGCGCCCAGCCACACCTTGGGCGAAACTAGAGGGCCCGCGTCCCCCGAGGGCTGCGGCGGGGCCGCGAGCGAGGTGTTGTCCCTTCCCGGCCGGGCCTGAGTTGGAAGCCCACTTTGAAGCCCAGAGGAGCTCCGGGCGGGCGCGGGGCAGGAACCGCCAGGCAGGGGAGGGGGCTGCGCCGGGGCCCGGGCCAAGATCGCGTCCCCCGCCCGGGCCTTGCGGCCCTCCCCAGGTGACGGAGCAGAGCCGCTGAAGCTGCAGAAATGTGCTGGCGCCTGTCCACCGCTGCACACAAAACCCAGCCAAAAGCGGCGAGAGGAAAAGCGAATATGGCGCTGCTGAAAATGGAGCCTCGGCATCTAGAAAGTCTTGCTTTCCTTTTCTCTTCTCGCTCTTACTTCGTCGATCTTTTTCCCCTTGCCCTCTCACGAGGGCCTCCTGCGCTTTCCTTCGGGTGTTCTCTACCCCTCGGCCCCTTTCCTATTCTTATGAATAAGCTCCCTGACTCGGTTTTCCTTCTTCCTTTCCCCTCTCGGTTCCTCTTTCTCCATTTTGTGTCACAGGCGCCTTGCTTCTTGTTCCCTTTCTGGGCGCGCACTCCCCCACCCGGCTTACTTTATTTTGTGTGTGGGTGGCGGAGTAGGGGAAGGGTTGGCGAGGATACGTAAGGAGTTGGGGTTTGTTTTTTTTTCTCCTCCTTTTTTTAAAGGTGTTATGTAGGAGCCAAGCATCTCCTTTGGTCAGGCGCTCCTTCGCCTCGCTTTTGGTGCCCCCCACCCGGCTGCACCCGCCGCTGCCACGGCCCGGTCCCACCAGCCGAGCGTCGCCCGCCCAGGAGGAGGCTTGGGTTCTACGCAGAAGCGAATACTTTCTGTTTTTGTTTTAAGCTAGAGCCTTGATTTTGCAGTGATTCGTGGCTGTGGCGTGATTTTGAATAGGTGAGGAATCTATCTGAATCTCATTTTCCCAGGGGGCTTCCAACAAGGATTTTAAGAGAAGCGTGCAAAGAAGACAGCAATGTCCATCTTTTTTTTTCTTCTTGTTTTCTTTTGAACAGAGGAACCCCCCACGCGCTAAGATAGTTATGATTTTAAAGCTAAACTTTTTAAAAATTAGTTTTCCTTTTACACTCACGACTGACTTTTGATCCTTTTAAAGAAAGAATGAAGTCAAAATAGACATGCTTTTGAATACACAAGGTCCCCGCGTCCCCAAATTGTGGTGCTGGGATAGTTCCTCTAGATGCATTCTGATTTTGAAGTTCAAGGTCTCTAAGCGCTGTTAAGTGGAACCATGAAAAATATTTTGCTACATTAAAAATAAAACAGAGGGTGATACTGACTGCTGAATCGTAGTAGAAACTTTTTTTTTTCTTTTTCTTTTTTCTGAGGCTGGGCAGGATTTGCCTTGGTTTTATTAGGAAACCTGCTAATAGAAACGATGTCAAGTGAAGGGCTTCCCTTGGTAAAACGCTGGGAGCAATGACATCTTTTTCTATCTGAGTGCCTCTCCTTGGTCGTGGCAAAAAAAAAAAAAAAAAAAAAAAAGTTTACATGCAGTGCTTGAAAAGAAAATGATATTGCTTCCCAAGTTGTTTTGTGTTTTCTTTTTTACCAACTACATTTCACTTTATTTACAATTGTCAGTTTATTCTCACACTTTCTGGTCAGTTTTACCCTCTCACCACCGTCTGTTAGAACCACATCCTTCAGCAAAAAAACAAAAACAAAAACTAACGACCCCTCCCCAAAATAGGTGTTCATCCCTATGAGATGCTAATACCCCTGGAACTGTTTTAAAAGAGCGAAATTTTGTAAGGAGATTCTTTTTAAAAAACGTATTAGAGAAGTATTCTTCCAAAAAATCTTAGGCTATTTCCTTTAAAAAATCACCTTTCTTGGTTTTTCACTAATTGCCTTTGATTAAAATTAGGTTATAAACATATCTTTCAGAATGTTTCTTTCTGAAAGGAGAAAGTAAATAGGTGTTGGCAAGAACTAAACCAATGCAACTAGGCCTTATTGAGAGCCTAAATCTGTATATTGGTAACCTTAAATAACATTAATCAAACTGTGTTTGGTACAGGTAGTTCTCTGACTCAAACAGTTGGTTTTTAAAAGTCTTATAAAACATGTTAAAATGTGTTTTTAGTCTAGGCTCCCACTTCTTTGTTATGCATTTTTCCTGGTAGATAAGTAGATGGATCTAACTTGATGGGTAGGTAGATTTTTCTCCAGATGAACTTTCTAAAAATGGGCCAAGTTAGGGAAGTGATTAATACCCTTCATTTTAATTGGAACGATTCAGTGCTTATACCAAGCTAATCCTATTAAGATGTTATTTACTGCTCTGGGGGATAAATTAAGCACAACTCAGATTATTTTAGATGGACAACTTGCTATATATTCTAAGCAATGGGTGCTGGAAAAAAGTATCACTTCTCCGAAAAATATATATTGTGCACCAGTAATGTTCAAAGTACATCGAGGAAATGTATTGATGAGATGGGTATAAATCATAGTGTCTGTTGTTAAAGAGTTTACAGATTATACAGAGCAGTAGATCTTTCTTTATTTTCTCTTATTTAGAAAACAAGCATTCATATGAAAAAAATAAAATTAGATCCCTTCTTTTCCCCACATACAAATTCAGTTTCAGATGAATTAAAAAATTAAATAAGAAAAATAGAATTTTTAAAAATTGGAAGGAAATATAGAAGTTGTAGTATGAAAGGATTTCTTAAAACATTAAAATGCACAATCCATTAAGGAAATGATAAATTGGATGACTTTCATGGTCCAAATAATATGTTAGTCAATATATGATAATAGGCCCATAAGATTATGTTATATATTTACTGTACCTTTTCTATGTTTGGGTGTGTCTAATTATACAAATACCATTGTGTTATAATTGCCTACAGTATTCAATACAGTCACATGCTGTGCAGGTTCACAGCCTAGGAGCAATAGTCGTATACCATATACAAACCATCTAGGTTTGTGTAATTTACACTCTATGGTGTTAGCATGAGGAAATCACCCATGGACCTATTTCTCAGAACATGTCCCTGTAGTTAAGTGTCACATGACTGTATACAAAAATTTAAAAAATACTTTTTATATGGCAAAAGATATCATAAAATGTTACAAGATTAACTGGGGGAAGATATTTTCAAGGCAGGTACTTGAAGAAGACTTAACATTCAAAATGTAACAGATAGAAAGAATTTACTAATTTTTGTGTAATGAATTTCATAAATAAAAGATGTGGGCCAAGATATATACATATGAAGTGAAAGTATAGTACTATTTATGGGACGAATACATATCAACGTTAAAAAATGTAATTTCCTTTTGGATGGAAAGAAGGGAGGAGGGGGAAAAGGAAGGGGCCCCAGGAGGCAACAGTTCTTTAGAAAAAGACCACAGACAACTATGGGAAGATGTTAAAACTTTTTGTCCTTTGTAGATTTTTTAAAGCTTGTTATAATTGATTTAAAAATCCCCAACATCAATTCCTATTCTAAAGAATGAACAAATGACACATTTCTTTTCCTTAGTCAATAATAATCTTGTAAGATGGTGTTCACATGGCTTTTTGTTGATGGCAAAGAAAACACCATTCCCCAATGTTTTTCCTGGGCTGTGTTTGAATATTATGTGATACTCACAGCAGAGATTTTCCTAGTTTGGCATCTCTTTGTTGTAAGCTTGTTTTCTGAGTAGATTTAAATGAGAAGAACAGAAATCATCTGAAACTATGACTATGTATAACAGCATTTATTCTCCTATAATGAAATCATAAAAGCTGTGTTTAAAAAGTGAGCAAACAAAAACCTCCACACCATTATAGAAACACTGTTAAAAACTATTGAATAATTTCAGGCCTAGTGTGCAATAATTATTATTTAAGTGTGTCTAGTTTGTTGTGCTAAGTGTCAGGAATTGGGATTGTGGAAAGACATATGAGATCTCATTTTCTCCTTTTATATGGCAGGAGTTTACACAACATTTACATCTGTCATTGATACTTTTTATGAATAGAAGTTTTGTTTACTTATAACTTCCGCAGGGATTATTCATATAGAGCACTGGAAAGATGTAACATTTCATTTGCTTTGATACCTTATGCTTATTTTAGATTGACAAGCATTATGAAGCAAAGTGATTATTGTTTTCCTTATTCGATGTGAACCGAGAGGGTTTGTATACTGAGTGATTCTCATGATGGACGATACCAGTATGATTATGCCAAATGCATCGCTTCTGATGCATCAGTCTCTGGGCACATATAGACCCTGCTGATTTCTGCAAAAGCACACTTCTGAAACTTCCAAGTTTCAAAACATTACTCAGAAACCTCTATGGTCCCCTATTGCCAACAAAAGTAAAGCCTGTCTCTTCACTGGCATTAGAAGCCCCTATAATGGCATTGCTTTTCCATTTCCAGGCTCTTTCCAGTATTACCAAACAAACTCTGTATCTTCAGTTTGGTAACTCCACTAGTTTTAACGTGTTCTTATGGTCTTTCCTTTGTCTCTTTTTTCTCTCTTCTTATATCAGTTAGAATGTAACAGACAACCCAGCTATAATAGAGGCTCCTTTTTCTTATGTAACAAGTCTGTTAGATAAAGAGTTGCTAGTGTTTTCTTGGGGATTCAGTGATATCAGCTCTGTGATTCATCTGACCTTCATATCATAGTTGCAAAATGGCTGCCGTAAGTACCAACACCACACTGACTTCTAGGGTGGGAAGGCAGCAGAAAATTTGTTCTTCATGAGTCTTACTCATGTCAAGGAAGTATAATATTTTCCAAAATGCCCCACCAAGGATTTCCTCTTACATCATATTAGCCCAAACTGGGACAGATTATCAACCTTTATCTGGGGTGCAGGCCCACATTTCCACATCAAAGGGAATTTGTAATGCCTAAATAAAACTGGAATTCAGTAAGCAAAGAAGAAATAGAGGAATGGTTTTTGGCCAGGCAGTAAGCAGACTATCAGCTACAACTCCCTGAAAGCCATCATTCCCTTAAAATATCTTTGACTGATGTCATTGGTGACTTCTGAACTTTTTCATCCAATGAACAATGTTTATTTTCTAACTTACTTGAAGTTTTTGTGGGGCTCAGCCACACCCTTTTTGAAATTTATGTAGTCATCAAATACCCACTCATCACTTAATGTGTATTAGTCACTCTGCCGGGCAAAGAGAATAAAAAAATGAACCACGGGTGGTCCTGAACTTTCACAAGTTTATATAGCCTAGTGGGGTAGACAGGTGAATAAATACGTGCAAAAGAATGTTAAAGATACTGTGATAAAATTATGTTTTGTGGGCCAGGCGTGGTGGCTCACACATGTAATCTCAGCACTTTGGAAGGTTGAGGCAGGTGGATCACCTGAGGTCAGGAGTTCGAGACCAGCCTGGCCAACATGGCAAAACCCCATCTCTACTAGAAATAGCAAAAATTAGCTGGGTATGGTGGTGGGTGCCTATAATCTCAGCGACTTAGGAGGCTGAGGCAGGAGAATTGCTTGAACCCAGGAGGCGGAGGTTGCAGCAAGCCAAGATCTCACCATTGCACTCCAGCCTGGGCAACAAGAGCAAAACTCCTACTCAAAATAATAATAATAATGAAAATTAGGTTTTG